CCCCAAAACCCCAAAACCCCAAAACCCCTAGAGACAATAATCATCTACTTACATAGTATATACAAATAATATTTGTTAAAATAAATTAAGATGATTCAGTAATCACCGTCAAATACCCATTATACTGAATCAATATTAGAATCAATGCTTTTGTGTAATACTTCTTAAAGACCATCACCTAAATTGCCCATTTAAAATTAATTTCCTTGATCATCTATTTTATAATCAATGAGTTCATGTCCTTAAATATCATAATCGCCAATGGCTAGATCTAGAAGTCTTTCCAAACACTCTTGTGAACCAAAGGTTTTTTAATTTAACTTAACATCCATTTGATCAATTAAATTGTAATCTCGATACAATCCTTTTAGTAATTTCACGATCAGATCACCCTAATACTATTATGTTTCAAAAATTTTAGGGAAAATTAATGGTCCACCACTAATTCTCATTAGATTGTATCTCTTTTAATCACATTTTATTCCGTTTTAAATCTTCCTCTCCATTCTATACTTTCTTCGATTAATAACATAGCTTTTTCTGGTTAAGGACTTTATCTTGCTATATCTATCCATGAAATTTAGTTCATATAAAGAATAGTCTAGTTTCATTTTATACCCCTTATTGTTTAATATTCTAACTAACTCTATGTTTATTAATTTTGGTAGATTCATATAAATCATCTCAGATTGATGTTAATTTAATTTTTCATCCTAGTATCCCCATATATCTTAATCAGGGTTGAAGCCATAGAATAACTGATACATTTCTAGAGTCTATTTTTATCTTTCTTTTAACAACTATCTATCAAGAATTGCTTATGTTTACGTTGAAATACTTGGAAAATGGCCAAATATTTGCACAATGGTTCTATAGAATATTGCATGATTTTTCTAGATTAGAAAACTTAGAATTCTTTCTATTTAAAAACTTGGAACTAATGGCTAATTAGATATTTGGGTGAGAAATATGAACCTTTTTAACTCTCTCCATATTTTACATGAAGGTTTAATATTAAATATACATCTTTACTATATTTCTTGATTAATCCCGATACTTAGATCTACTAAGTCGAATTACGAATATAAATTTTTCAAATACCAGTCATTAAGATTTTCTTTTCTTAATTAATGAGTGAAATTACAATTTATAATTGGCATTACTTCCTAAGGTTACAACGTGAAATTTTATTGCTTAAATATAGTGTCTCTAAAATATTTCTATAAGTCGACTTATTCCTGTATGTATATATTACAAGCCATAATTCAAGCTAAAATCTCTTTTCCTACATCTATATCACTAGGGAAAGATCCATTGAAATCAACTTAATTAGCTTAGATAAGCCTTATATATTTATTGAGGCTCTATTTTAAACCTTATCTCAATTCTTTCCTTAATTAATTACGATTTGACTTACTAATCCAGACATCAGTGGAGTAAATAAAATCGTTTTGATAGGTAGGTAAATCATAATATTCAGGCCATAAATTCCTCAAAGGCATAAGTAATTTTCACTAGATTTTCATTCTCTAGATAAGCTTCTGATAGTCATCAAAAGATTATTTCATTGATAAATTCTATTATCTTTGGTTTTATATTGTTTTATGCTCATACATTGTCATATAAAGACCTAAGAATTCCTCACAAAATTCACTGTAATTATCATGAAATTAAACAAGAAATCCAAAGGCTTTTTCAAGATAGTTAGGGGCAGGGAATGGAGCTAAAAATATCTGTCTGTCATTGATTTTAAATTGATATAATTCAGGATTTAAAAGTACCTCTTATATGCACAGGAATAGATATTTCTTTAATTCAAGGAATACAATCTATGCAACTATTGGATGTAGATTATCACCTTTATCATTAGTATATTCTAAGCTAAATCTCTATATAATGCTAACTTTACTATTAGTGCTTGCTGTATTCTTATCAAAATCATACATTAATATCTTAGCCAATAGTTACCTCTTCAACTAATCTTAAGTAAATAACTAAGGTCTCTCATAAGGCTTCTTAGATAGATTATTTTGGATTTCTTGAATAATTTCTAGATGCTTGTTTGAGTTACCCATTTAAATTTATATTATATACGTTGAACAATAACTTCTATAATGAACAAATTAATTTTACTACGGGGTTTTGGGGTTTTGGGGTTTTGGGG